CCCCAAAACCCCAAAACCCCAAAACCCCAAAACCCCAAAACCCCTTGTAGGCAAATCACGTTGACTCAAATTAGCAGCTATAAATTTAAATTTTTAATTCTTAGCTATTCATAAAGATGAGTTGGGTCCCTCAAAAACAAATGTTTACCAGCTTCCAGTCCAAAGACAAGCACCAACACCAGAGCCAGAGCGAGAATGTAACTTACGAAATATCTTCAAGAAATAATTTGAAGCCAATCAGGACTTTCGGACGAGACATTTCAAATTTGCAAAGGCAGAGTGCATTTATGCAAGACAGGAACATGCCTCATTCCAAAGGCAAATAAGATCAGGCTTAAGTACCCCAAGAACAGTGTTTCCAGACGAAAGTTTGGCTTTGAAATGTCAAGGAAAGTCAATACAAGTGCGATCAGGTCGACTGCTGCATCCAAGAGATACATTTCATCAAGCTCACTAACCGATAGGAACAAGAACTTCAAAATGATGAACCCAAACACAAAGCACCAGTTATACAAACGGAAAATTCCGGTTTTCAAAGATGCCAATCCTAGAGTCAACTCGATCAAGCCTCTGAACAAATCTCTTAAGCACAGAAGCATGAGCAAGAGCCAGCTGGCCGGCAAAGAAAATTTGAAAGCCAGTCTCAGGTATATTCGCAATTTAAGTTTAGAATCAACTCTTCAGCGACTCAGGCTTCGAAGCACAATATTCACCAAAATAGTGGACATGCGACCACAAACACTTATCTTCCAAACCTGCACAACATGTCGACGAACTCTCTGCTGTCGAACGGAGGTAAGGAGGCCTGAAAGAAGAACTCCATCTTGTCCAACAGGGCCAACTACGAGTCCAACAAAAAGTTAAATTTTAAAATAAACTCGAAGACGCCATCCAACAAAAGAGCTGAGCCTGAAATTTCCAGTAAGTTTAGGACGGAAGTATCTTCGAGAATCCATTTGAGATTCTTTTGGGAATCCGTAGTATTAATACCCACTAACAATTCTATAGAAGGCATGAAGAGACAGCTGTCTTCAGACAAACTCTCAGATCAAGAGAAACTCAGAAGGTTTCACAGACTTGTCGAAGAAAATAAGTACCAGATTATTAAATAAAGGAAACACAGAAATTGAGTTTCTTCCGCTCATGAACAAATCGTAGGCTTCCAAGTAATGTTTCTAGAGCGGTGAGACTTGATGATAAAATCGATGTGCTTACTGTGCCTGAGTATGCTGATGAGATCTTCCAGAACGCAAAACCCAGCAACATTCAACATACTACTCAGCACAGCCAAAGCAGAGCTAAGGTTCAAAATAACAGGTTCTGGATGCCTAAAGCTGACTACATGGACAGTCAGCCTGACATCAACCAGAAAATGAGAAAAATCTTGGTGGACTGGCTCCTCAAAGTCCACACTAAGTTCAAGCTGCTGCCTGAAACATTGTTTCTGACTGTGAACATCATTGACAGGTATTTGTCACACGAAGAAGTCACCAGGAAAGTACTGCAGCTAGTTGGAGTGGCAGCAATGCACATTGCATGCAAGTACGAAGAAATATACCCGCCAGAGTCAAATGACTTCGTGTACATCACTGACAATGCGTATTCGAAGAAAGAGTTGCTTGAAACAGAGTACAAAATCTTAAAGACGCTTAACTTCAACTTGACATTCGTGAGTGCTTTCAGGTACTTGGAACGGTTCTGAGCAATCACTGAAAACACCAAGTTATTGCCAATGGCTCACAAGTTCTTAAATTTTGCCCTTGTAGATTACACTTTGATAAAGCACCAGCCATCGACTTTGGCAGCAGGAGCTCTGTATCTTTCTCATGTGCTTGAGAAGAGGAAGATGCAAAAGAAGGCTCATCAGAATAGTGCTCACTCTTTAGGAAGTTCTCATACAAAAAGCAGAGATTATTCTACTGATTTGAGCAGCATTCTTCTGGTAAAGCTATCAAAGGAAGCAGATATAACAGAAAATGATATTAAAAAGTGAGCTATTGAGATCCATAACCTCTCAAAGAACTCCTAACCTATTGAGTAATAATTAATTACAATCCTCTTAGAAGGAATCTTACAATTGTGCTTCAATTATCTCCAAGTAAGAGGGGTTTTGGGGTTTTGGGGTTTTGGGGTTTTGGGGTTTTGGGGTTTTGGGG